CATCATACTGTAGCTACATCCACTTTCTTTCATTCTCATACTGCAGCTACATATACCTTCACCCTCATACTGTAACTACATCCACTTTCATTCTCATACTGCAGCTACATATACCTTCACCCCCTCATACTGTAGCTACATCCACCTACACCATCATACTGTAGCTACATCCACTTTCATTCTCATACTGTAGCTACATATACCTTCATTTCTCCTCATACTGTAGCTACATCCACTTCTCATTCTCATACTGCAGCTACATATACCTTTTACCTCATATACTGTAGCTACATCCACCTTCACCATCATACTGTAGCACATCCACTTTCATTCTCATACTGTAGCTACATATACCTTCACCCACATACTGTAGCTACACATACCTTCACCCTCATACTGTAGCTACATCCACTTTCATTTTCCCTCATACTGCAGCTACTTATACCTTCACTTCACTCTACTGTAGCTACATATACTTTCACCCTGATACTGTAGCCACATCCACTTTCATTCCCCATACTGCAGCTACATATACCTTTCACCCTCATACTGTAGCTACATCCACTTTCATTCTCCTTTCATCAGCTATATACTGTAGCTACATCCACCTTCACTCATCATCATACTGTAGCTACATCCACTTTCATTCTCATACTGCAGCTACATATACCTTCACCCTCATACTGAAGCTACATCCACCTTCACCATCATACTGTAGCTACATTCACTTCTCATTCCCTTCCTCTCATACTGCAGCTACATATACCCTTCACCCTCATACTGTAACTACATCCACTTTCATTCTCATACTGCAGCTACATCCTTCACCCCCTCATACTGTAGCTACATCCACCTTCACTCATCATACTGTAGCTAAGATCCACTTTCCATACTGTAGCTACATATACCTCTCATACTGTAGCTACACATACCTTTCAAATTCCTCATACTGTAGCTATATCCACCTTCACCTTCATACTGTAGCTACATATACCTTCCACCTCATACTGTAGATACATCCACCTTCATCTTCATACTGTAGCTACATATACCTTCCACCTCATACTGTAGCTACATCAACCTCCATCCACATACAGTAGCTACATCCATCTCCATCCTCATAGTGTAACTATATACACCTTCACCCTCATACTGTAGCTACATCCACCTTCATCCTCATACTGTAGCTACATCCACCTTCATCCTCATACTGTAGCTACATATAACTTCATCCTCATACTGTAGCTACATATACCTTCATCCTCATACTGTAGCTACATCCACCTTCATCCTCATACTGTAGCTACATATACCTTCACCCTCATACTGTAGCTACATATACCTTCAGCCTCATACTGTAGCTACATCCACCTTCATCCTCATACTATAGCTACATCCACTTTCATCCTCATACTGTAGCTACATATACCTTCACCTCATACAGTAGCTCTATCCACCTTCACCCTCATACTGTAGCTACATATACCTTCATCCTCATACTCTAGCTACATATACCTACACCTTCATACTATAGCTATAACCACCCTTTATTATTATCATCATACTGTAGGTACATATACTCTTCATCCTAATACTGTAGCTACATACACATTCACTCCTCATATTGTAGCTAAGCATCCACCTTCATCCTCATACTGTAGCTACATCCCCTTCATCATGATTCTGTGTAGCTTTATACACCTTTACCTCATACTGTAGCTACATACATCTTTCATCCCTCATTCTGTAGCTACATATCCCTTTTATCCTCATACTGTAGCTAAGCATCCAAGTGCATCTTCATAGTGTAGCTACATCCACCTTCAACCTCATACTGGTGCTATATAAACCTTTCATCGTCATACTGTAACTACATCCATCTTCATCCTAATACTGTACATCATCCACTGTCAACCCTATACTGTAGCTACATCCACCTTTCGTCCCTCATACTGTAGCTACATATACCTTCACCCACATACTGTAGCTACATCCACCTTCATCCTCATACTGTAGCTACATCCACTTTCAATCTCATACTGTAGCTACATATACCTTCACCCTCATAATGTAGCTACATCCACCTTCACCCTCATATTGCAGCTACATCCACGTTCATCCTTATACTGTAGCTACATATACCTTCACCCGCATACTGTAGCTACATATACCTTCATCCTCATACTGTAGCTACGTATACCTTCAACATCATACTGTAACTAAATCCACCTTCACCCTCATACTGTAGCTACATCCACCTTTATCCTAATACTGTAGGTATATATACCTTCACCCTCATACTGTAGCTACATATACCTTCATCCTCATACTGTAGATACATATACCTTCACCCTAATATTGTAGCTACATACACCTTCACTCTCATACTGTCGCTACATCCACCTTCACCGTCATACAGTAGCTACATCCACTTTCATCCTCATAATGTAGCTACATATACCTTCACCCTCATACTGTAGCTATATGTACCTTCATCCTCATACTGTAGCTACATATACCTTCACCCTCATACTGTAGCTACATCCACCTCAACCCTCATACTGTAGCTACATCGACTGTCATCCCTCATACTGTAGGTACATATACCTTCACCCCCTCATATTGTAGCTACATATACCCTTTACTCACTCATACTGCTAGCTACAGATGACTTCATCCCTCATACTGAAGCTACATATACCTTCTCCCTCATACTGTAGCTACATCCACCTCATTCTCATACTGTAGCTACATATACCTTCACCCCTCATATTGTAGCTAAATATACCCACTCACCCCTCATACTGTAGCTACAGATGACTTCCACCCCTCATACTAAAGCTACATCCAACTTCACCATCATACTATAGCTTCATCCACTTTCATTCTCATACTGTAGCTACATATACCTTTTACCCTAATACTGTAGCTTCATACACCTTCACCCTCATACTGTAGCTACATACATCTTCACCCTCATACTGTAGCTTTAACCACCTTCATCCTCATACTGTAGCTACATAAACCTTTACCCTCATACTGTAGCTACATACACCTTCATCCTCATACTCTAGCTACATATACCTTCACCCTAATACTGTAGGTTCATACACCTTCACTCTCATACTGTAGCTACATCCACTTTCATCCTCATACTGTATCTACATATACCTTCACCCTCATACTGTAGGTATATACACCTTCACCTTCATAGTTTAGCTACATCCGCCATCTTCTTCATACTGTAAGTACATGTAACTTCATTCTCATACTGTAGATAAATATACCTTCACCCTCATACTGTAGCTACATCCGCCTACACCCTCACACTCTAGCTATATATATCTTAATCCTCATACTGTAGCTACATATACTTTCACCCTCATACTGTAGCTACATATACTTTCATTCTCATACTGTAGCTACATATACCTTCACCCTCATACTGTAGCTACATCCACTTTCATTCTCATACTGCAGCTACATATACCTTCACCCTCATACTGTAGCTACATCCACCTTCACCATCATACTGTAGCTACATCCACTTTCATTCTCATACTGTAGCTACATATACCTTCACCCACATATTGTAGCTACATATACCTTCACCCTCATACTGTAGCTACATCCACTTTCATTCTCATACTGTAGCTACATATACCTTCACCCTCATACTGTAGCTACATATACCTTCACCCTCATACTGTAGCTACATCCACTTTCATCCTCATACTGTAGCTACATATACCTTCACCCTCATACTGTAGCTACATCCACCTTCATCCTCATACTGTAGCTACATATACCTTCACCCCTCATACTGTAGCTACATCCACCTTCACCATCATACTGTAGCTACATCCACAGCAAAAATAACTGCGTTTCCGGACCCCGGAAACCTAACGGAAACAAAATGGAAACTTAAGTTTCAACTAGGTTTCCGGAACGTTTCTCTACATTTCCTTCAAGTTTCCGGAAAACGGAAACTTACAAATTACCCAGAAACCGGCATGGCTCCAGTGCGTTTCCGTTACCCAGTTTCCAGTGAGGGCTCCAGTGCGTTTCCGTTACCCAGTTTCCAGTGAGGGCTCCAGTGCGTTTCCGTTACCCAGTTTCCAGTAAGGCTCCAGTGCGTTTCCGTTACCCTTTTTCCTGTAGGGCTCCAGTGCGTTTCCGTTACCCAGATTCCTGTATGGTTCCAGTGCGTTTCCGTTACGCAGATTCCTATGAGGTTCCATTCGGTTCCCCTTATCCCTCTACTTTCAGATGGTTTCATATACATTGTATTTACTTAGTTCAATTATGATTCCCTGTGAATTTCTGTTTCTATTAATCACATTTACCATGTTCCATAAGTTTCAGTAAATCAGAATCTGTATGGATTCATTTGGTTTCAATCATTAGTATTCAGGGATTACCATATGTCCATATTAAATTATGATTATTCAACTAAATTAAGTGTAGTTGAAATGAGTGTATTATATATTTGAATGTATTAGGGTCATATATTTTATTCATGATACATTGAAATATAAAATAAACTCATTTCAACTACAGTTACCTCAACACCACATGGACATAGAAATAAATAAATACAAAATCAGGCATGTCAGTCGATTTCTCTTTATTCATCATAAACATATCATATCTATGTTTCAATGTTACAATTAAACATTGACACAAAGCACAGAGAGAGAGAGGGGTGTGTGTGTGTGTGTGTGTGTGGGGGGGGGTCATCACAGGCCCTATGGATTTGAAATTTTGTATGAGTAGTAGTTTGTTCAAATAACTATTATGGAGGGGTTGACATTTTTTAATTTGAGGGACATTAATTTTTAATCTTAGTCTCAGAAACAACAAATTTAGATGTTCTTGTCCTAAACAGGGTGACTACAGGAGATAATTGAATGTACATTTAGACATTCCATCCAATTTCTAAGACCTTTAGGTGGTTGGAAAGCATCTTGTTGGATGGTGTCGCAATTGTAAGTTCTTCATTTTGCCGCTGGAGCTTCAGACATCACTGGCGATGTCAATTCTAGGGTTAGGACTGCAGCCACCTTCTGTGTTCTTTTTCTCTGCCCAGCTAGATTCTTCAGGAGGTGTTGGAGTTTCTGGGGGAAAAAATGAAATTCTTGCACTGCGAAAGTTATGTCCAACATTTATTCTTGAGAGCGGCACTTGTTCTAATTAGATAATGGCACATTACGGTGATGGGTAATGACATGTGATAAGGAAAGTTATTCTATTACAGGTATATAGCGATGTGATAATATGTAGCACATCATGTCAGTGACTCAGGGTGTTTTAAACTGGTGTCAGGAAGTGTATAAACCGGTACAAATGATATTATATAATCCAGTTTCAGGAACTTACAGATCAGATTCTTTTGTTTCTTTTAGCATCTTTCCTGTGTTTTTCTTTCCTGTAATCTGCCGACGTCTTGCTCCTCCAGATTATCCAAAAGGTTTCTATTAAGAAAAGGAAATGAATTAATTTTCATTCGTCCAATAATAGATTATTACAATCCGACACAAACATTCATAAGTTTGATTATTATCATGTATCAAAACAAGTAATAAGTAATTGTGGTATATCAACTACATGTATATGCATTACTGCGAGGGTGTGAGAAGTTTTCTATTAACATGACAGACATGATTATGCAGCAAATATGCACTACATAATAGTATGCTATGTCAATTCTACTGCTAGTACTAGATACCTGACAATGAAATAATTAGATGCTAGATTTACCCAATGGTGAACAAGAAACGAATTAATTGTATTTTGTATTACTGACGTGTCTAATCTTATAAAACCCAATATATATCTTGATTATGATGACGAGCAATAATAAAACTTGGGGTAAGTTTTTTACCTTAAATAAGTAACTTTTAATGGATTTTCAAGGTACTCCGGGAACTTTTCCATGATTCTTCTCACAATAGCCTAAAACAAAATGAGACACACATTTGGATCATGAACATATGTCGATTGGTAATATTTTCCACCGGAATATCATGTACTACTGGTTTCATCTATATTTGTTGCCTTGCTGGATACATGTATAACAATTTCTTAAAATATATTTTATTCCATCAATAACCTGGAAAGGTGAACAAGCCAAGTGTCTTATATAAACGCCGCTCCAGTACACGGTTCCAATGTAGCTGGATACATAATTGAAATAGTCCGACAAGAAAAGAATAATACTGAGACAAAATTACACTCAGAAAAATGACTGAAGAATAAATATTTGGTTATGGTGTTGGTTGTGCCCAGCAACAAAATGAGCTGCCGCAGGAAATAAAAATTATATAAACATCAGACTCAACGTACAGGAACACAAGGGTATTCTTGTCTTATGGTTATATTTTAACGGAATGTTCAGCTGGTATCAACAATAATGTTGTTTTTAACAGATTTCACACCAAAATGCAATGTCCACATTAATAACCGTGGAGAAATCGAAATGCGAGCGCACCGTTACTGTAGATTCCTACCGAAAACGTTTAATTCGATGCAGACTGACTGCTATGATAAGAAGAAAATAATTAATTTTATCTGAAACCTACCTGCCAATTTCTCTGTCTTGGGTTTCCGTTGAGATCGCTTGAGTTCCCGGATCCTTGTTTCCAAAGCTTCGATTGTCAAGTTTGTTGCCATGTGTCAAGAAAACTATAGCAAGTATACAGACTGCCATTTCTACTACCTTACTCTCATAGACTTACTTGAAAACAACAACGAAGTTTTTCCAAGCTCGCGCGTACGTTTGAACAAAGATGGCGACATTTCAAACAAAGACTTATGGGTAGTCAATTAGGTTGTTTTTTTCATTTCTATTGTTAACACGCCAATAGTCTGCTTACCCTTCACAAGCTTGGAAAAACACTGATAACTGCAATATGTGTTTATGTAAATTGTTTGTTTTTACAATGTCCGTCACATCTCGCGAGGCCTCATTCATTCCAAATCAAGCGCTTCCGGTTTCGTGACAACAATTTTAGTATCTGATCTGACTGCCAGGTGGGCAGCACATGCTACCTCGACCGTGACGGACCCAGGGACTGGGCAGCTGTCAACCATGGCAGAATTTCCTCAACCTAAAGAGTGAAACAATATGAACGGTGGATGTATTTCCCGTAATAAAGTACTCCAGAAATCAGTATAAGCTTTTTTTCAGATTTTCCGACGCGTTGATCGTATATGACCGATCCAATTTGATCCTATTTCTGTGTTTTTTACCTGATATTTAGTCATATCAAGAACAATGTGATGGTTGATCACCTATTATTTTAAAACCACACAGCGTAGTTCCCTAAGATTCTGTAGTAAATTAATATTGCATGCAATAGAACGATTTTACCCGGTTTTTTTGTCATCTAGTGAACTTATAACAGGTATAGTACTACATGTTATGTAATATATGCATGCAGGTGCAGCAAAAGGAATTATCAGCTGAGTTAAAAAAACAAACACAGATGAAAGGATTAACCGATAACACGCTAATTGATTTATTACTTTTATCTTGCACGACGTCTTTGTCAAAAGATAGTCTTTATGTTTGTAGAGTTACTAACGTATACTGAAAAGGTTTAGTACCGTGACGTAGACATTTGTGATGTTTGTAACAACAATAAGGGCGACACACAGGGATTTTCAGGTTGACCGCACTTGGAGAACAATGGACATAATCTGTGATGATAGGCATGCAGGTGACACTAAATTCCCAAGTTGGAAACAAAATAAATTGTACAACGAAGTGATATCCGTAGAAAATACCAGATGTTAGATAATATTTTACATATTCATGACATGGCAACAACAATAAAATCCATTAAAATGACATCTTGGCACAAATTATTTTAATCATCATAATGATAAAACAATTTCATAATACATGTACATAGTATGACACTGCAGTTTCATTAAGCTTGAAACTGCTTTCTGCGAACGCAAGTACATTTATTCTTCCTGTTGACAAATCATCAGTGGTATTGTAAAATATATTTATCTTACATGTTGTATTTATTGCCACAGCGGATATTTATAAATTATACCTTTATATCATTGTTGACACGTTCGTGGTTACGTATGTCAGGATGTTTGGTGACTATGTCATCTACAGTGGAGACAGCTGAGACTCTACAACATAACCAGGACATCCAAGATGTAGCATTTCTCTAAAGCGTACCATCCATACATACAGCCTCGTGAAGTCGGAATGAACTTTTACTTTACACATGTAACTGCTGTTTTGCCATAATAAAAGTGATGAATTTGAAAGTATGGCCAGCATATTATGTACCAAATTGATGAGTTGGTGCTTAATCATATCAATCAAAACAAGCTAAGTGAGTTCAATTTCATTGATTTTCATCATGTAAGTGAACAAGGGGTGAGTTCGTGTCACCTATTTCGCTAGGGTATTTCAGATAGCTAATCCCTTAAAACAACATGCACCGTTTCTAAAGAATTGTGACATTATGTAAAAACTTGTCAGGTGTATTATCTTTGGTGTCCAGTGAAACCCGGTCACGTGACATGGAACAGTTTTTGGGGCAGCTGCCGATGAATGGCATATCGTTCCATTATGTGGATACTGATGGATACTTTTCTCGAACAAGGTAATAGCCCATTAGTTTTGTTATAACGTTAGTTGGTTTTAAGTTTGATATCTGTATTTTGTTTTCATTTCTTGTAGCATTCAACAAAATTATTCCACAAACAACATTGTTCATGTGAGTTATAAGCCCCCACCTCTCCTCTTCTGATAATCCAGGGCGTACCCAACAAGATCTCTTAGTTTTTCAGGTTGTAAACTGATTCCCTTATATTTTAGGTACTCTATGACATATCTAGAAAGCCATTTAATAAATTTATGAGGTTCCAAAGTTCTTATAAATATGATAATGGATCAATAATGATAATGCTATAATTAAAAGGCAAAACGTTCATTGACTTAATTTTCTTCAATCCCAACATTTTTCACCACTGGCAGATGACGTTAAACTTAAACATATTTTATATCTATAAGTCTACTGTGTAATTTGTTGAAGCCTGTATTATGTTCTTTTATTGATATTTACGAAACTATTGTCCTTTTAGTACAGTTATGTGTTATGTGCATAACCACACCCAGTTAGTTGTATTAGTATGTATCACTTTGAGAAAAACAAATGGAAAGCCAATGGGTAACTGAAACCTAATGGAGCCTTATCGGTTCCTCAGTAATTTAAAGGCATCTGTGAGTGTACCTAACAAATCCGTTAAGGAGACAAAGTAGAATCTTAAGTTTCCGTAATATGGTTTAACTTTTCCTGAAATTATTCTTCTTTCATGTGACAGTATCTTTTATTTGAATTCTGGTGTACAAAAACACTGAGATCACTAAACTGAAACTTATATACATGGAATACATAGACAGTTTAGCGTAGGTTAATGTCGGTTATATGCGGTATATACTGGTATATATGGAGTAATTTCCTCTACGTTCGTTTCATTGACGTTCCCATCAATGATGGTTTCCAGCTGCTTTATGCAATGGAAACTACCAATGATACTTTACTTTAAATTTCCGTTTCTGGAAACTAACTTTGTTGGTTTCCGGTAGTTTACAGTCGCTGAAACTAACCTTGGAAATTTAAATTTTAATGTGTGCATTATATATAAAAACAAATCACCTGTCTGCGAAAGACAGTAAAATAACTAGTCTATCACAAATGTACACTAAAAACATATAACCATAAACACTTTAACAGTACAGTATAAAAATGGGCTATTGCTTTTCCTCCCTGCATGAGCCCAAGCTGGATACTGTATATAGAAATTATTTTACAAGTGTAACAGTAAATTAATATAGCCCCCAATGGAACAACACAAAGCTAAGTTTGCCATTTCATCTAAGCTGAAACCAACAGACTTGTCAGTATCCGGGTACAGAAACCTAGCTGAAACCTACATTACCCAGTATCCAATAGGTTTCCGCAACAACGGAAACTAAGTCATATTGTTATGAATCTTTCAGCGACCTGAAACTAAATGGAAACTCATAATGACAGTTTCAGTTGTAGAAATCAGACGGAAACCTAGATTTGTTAGTTTCAATTTTGTAAACTACGCGGAAACTCACATTGTCTGTTTCCGGATGCTGAAACCTAGCGGAAACGTACATTACCCAGTATCCATTAGGTTTCCGCAAAAATGGAAACGAAGTTATTTTTGCTGTGTATAATTTTTTTTTTACCAAGATGCCAAATTTAATACTTTCTAAGGATAATTACGATTAATCTAAGGTAGGAAACAAACGACGGTGTCGGTGACCTAAATTAAGAATCCTCGCACAGGGCTTACTTGCGCTGTTCTATTGATGTGACTGCTCCCTATGTTAAGATGAACGTTACCACTAAAATAA